CCGGATGCATAATATTTTTAAACTATTGGTTATTATCTTAGAAAAAAATCTCAAAGTTGACATTTCCTTGTATGGTGGTTCCCAAACCTGGGTATGTATCATAAAACTCTTGTGAAGTTCAAAATATACAAACAAACAGCAGATTCCCAGTGCCCACCCCAGACCTATTGAATCAAAATCTCCAGGGGGACACCACATACCCCGATATGTACTTCATCTCTGTGGTATTCTTCTCAAAAACCCAATAATCCCAGTCTAACCATGAGAGAAACATGAGATGAAACCAAAGTGAGGGACATTTGACAAAGAACCTTAGTTTCAAAACTTTCAAAGTCTTAAAAACAAGGAAAAGACTGAGCCACTATCACAGCCAGAACAGACTAAGGAGACATGAGGATTAAAGGCAGTGTGGGATCCTGGATTGGATCCTGGGACACAAAAAGGACATTAGGGGAAAAACTGATGAAATCTGAATATCATTTGGAGTTTACGGTAATGTGCCATACAGAATATTTGTATGTATGTAGCATATATGACATAGCAATGTTAATAGTAATGTATCAGCGTTGGTTTCCAAGTTTTAACGAATGTACCATGGTAACATAAGATATTACCATTAGGGAAAACTGAGTGAAGGGTATATAGGAACTCTTTGCAAATCTGTAATTCTAAAATTCTATTCTGTAATTCTAAAATTATTCCAAAATAAAAACTTTATTGAAAAAAGTCTTTTCTATATTAAAAAAAAATCTCCAGAAACAGGCTCTAAGTATCTATACTACAAGTTCTACAAGTGATTTGATGCATACTAATCTACTCCAGAGTCCTGGTGACTAGTGTAATGAAATTGTAAAATCTGTGAGACAAGACACCCTGTGTAGGCTGAGACCTATAAAAGGCCTTAAGTATCATCTTCCATATTAGTTCTAAAAGAATCGCTAAAAACCTCAATGAAAATTGTAAATTATGGCTACCATCGATTTCTTACCTGTTGTAGAAGTGACTCATGGACATTGATAAGAACAAAAAGAATGTTATTGAAGAATCAGCACCTACTGCAATAATTTGAAGCTTCTGAAAAGTGCTTTGATTTAGATGATCTCTCCTACATGATGTACTTTCAGTGACTGTTTTAATCAACAGCTCAACTTTATAGCCATGTATTCAAATATGTTTGAAAAGGCAACTTAATTGTTTAACTAGATATTCCAAATGTATTTTATTGCCATTATATGTAAATGTAAAACTTTCTTATTTGTGAAAATCGTTACATATATAAGAATTCAAAGACAGTAACGAATTTTCAAAATTCTGCTTCCTTCTTAAAGTACATTTACTCTTCTGTACATTCTTTTAGAACTATACTTAGAGAAACTAATATCACCTGTTCTGG